GGAGTTCGGGGCGGGCTGTCAGGCAGGGGTGTGGAGAGGGGTTGGGGCAGGCAGGGAGCAGGGGGGGGTTGTATGGGTCGGGAGTTCTAGGGGTCCTGTCAGGGGGCAGGGAGCGGTTGGATAGGCGTGGGAGTCCCGGGGGCCTGTCTGGGGGCAGGGGTGTGGATAAGGGTCGGGGCAGTCAGGGGACAGGTAGGGGGTAGGATCCAGGGTGGCAGTCAGGGGACAAGGAGCAGGGAGGCTTAGATAGGGGGTGGGGTCCTGGGGGGAAGTTAGGGGCAGGGGTCCCAGGAGGTGGTAGTCAGGGGACAAGGAGCAGGGGGGGTTGGAGGTTCTGAGGGGGGCAGTCAGGGGGCGGGAAGTAGGAGGGAGTGGATGGAAGTAGGATGGGGGCGGGGCTAGGGCAAGACTCCCTGGGTGCACACCCTAATGAAATGTGCTGCGCACGCCTATTGGTATGAACCTGGCGCATTTGCAATGACATTTGAAGACAAAACAACCTGTGTATGCAGATAAGCCAGTAGATTTTTTCAAAAAAAGCTTTGAGTTCCAGACTTGCCAGCTTAAAATTAAAAAAGCTTTTGTAAGCACTATACCATCTTCAAGCAGTGCAAATCGCTTTTAAGTGAGGTGAAACTTAAGAGTGTGCAAGACAGATCAGACTCCTGAAAGGGGTACAGTAGGCTGGAAAGGTTGAGAACTACTGGTGTAGAGAGGTTCCAGCTCTGGCTTCAGCCTGAGCTCTAGGACTCTCCCACCTCGCAGGTCCTAGAGCCTTGGTGCCAGCCCAAACACTGCAATTAAACAGTCCCTTAGCCCAAGCCTGCGTGAGCCAGCCATGGGTTTTTAATTGCAGTGTAGACATACACAAAAAAGAGTCAAAGGCAAAGTGCACACCACCATTTCTTGTGCTTGTGTAACCCACACACCTCCTGGGCAGGGGCGGCGAGTTGTATGGGCCCATGGTGCCCGTGCTCCACCAATATGAGAGCGGGGGGCCCAGCTCCACCAAAGTTCAGGACCAGGTCTGTCCCCCGGCCTGGCCTGCCACTCTGCGTGTCTTCCTGGGAGCATCCCCCCTGGCCCTGCCTGCCCCCCCGCCAGGCAATTTAAAAGGGCCTCGGGCCGCCGCCGCCACCACCGGCAGCGCAACGGGGCTAAGGGAGCTTCCCCCCCACACACACTTCACTTCCGTAAGCGGACGGCATGTCCCTGTGGCCCCTGTGGGGGGGCATGTCTCCCTGCACGACCAGAGCTGTGGCCAGTGGGAGCAGTTGGGGTGGTGCCTGCGGGCACCGGTGCATGGAGACCCCTCCGGCTCACCACCTAGGAGTTGCTGCCAGAGGAGGGTGTGGGTCGCTTTTGGGAGCCGCCCAAGGTAAGCGCTGCATCCTTCACCCTCTCCTACATCCCTGCCCCAGCCCAGACCCTGCATCCTAGCTCCCTCCCAGAGCCTGCCCCCTGCATCCCCTCCTGCACCCCACACCCCCTACCCCAACCCAGAGCCCACACTCAAACTCCCTCCCAGAGCCCGACCCCTCCTCCCTCCCGCACCCAAACTCCCTCCCAGAGTCTTAGGCGGGGGAGAGACAGAACTTAGACGCATTCTGGGCACCACCAAAAAATATACAAACTTGCCACCCTTGCTCCTGGGTGTGGTGTTCTGTCCCCTCTGGTGGCACCGAGACCACTTAGAGATTAATGAGCCTGCTAAGGCCTTAGCTAACAGCCATATGACTTTTAGCTCATGCAGTAGAGACCCACGCATTTAGCTCCAGAGGTCCCAGGTTCAATCCCACCCGCCGCCGACCAAGGTCTATCAGTGTTACACTTGCTACAGGCCCATAACCCCTGGCTGTGTTACTAAAGTCCTCAATTCTTGATTTAAAGACTTCAAGTTACAGAGAATTCACCATTTCCTTTAGTTCAAACCTTCAAATGATCTGTGCCCCATGTTGCAGAGGAAGGTGGAAAAAACCCTAGGATCTCTGCCAATCTGACCTGGACACAGGACCAGCTTCCTCTGGTTCTGGGGGCTGCTTAACCCCCTGCTCTACCCCAGGCCCCGCCCCCACCTGACCCCTTCCCCCAAGTCCCCACCCCACCCCGCCTCTTCCCACCCATTCCTCCCCCTCCTCTGAACATGCCCCATCCCCGCTTGTCCTCCCTCCCCCCCGTCCACGCCCCAGTGCCTCCCGCACACTGCAGAACAATTGATCGCAGCGGGCAGGAGGTGCTGGGAGGGAAGGGGAGGAGTTGATCGGTGGGGCCAACTTCAGACAGGAGGCGCTGGGTGGGGAGGGGTGAGCTGGCTGCCGATGGGTGCTAAGTACCCACTAGTTTTTTTCTGTGGGTGCTCCAGGGCTGGCGCACCCATGGAGTCAGCACCTATGGAGGTTCCTGACCTCAAATGCAGTGATTAGTTAGACCCTGAGCATTTGGGCAAGACCCACTAGCTCAGTGGTTCTCAAACGTTTGTACTGGTGACCCCTTTCACATAGCAAGCCTCTGAGTGCAACCCCCCCCCTTATAAATTAAAAACACTTTTTTATATATTTAACACCATTCTAAATGCTGGAGGCAAAGCGTGGTTTGAAGTGGAGGCTGACAACTCACAACCCCCCATGTAACCTCGCAACCCCCTCAGGGGTCCCAATCCCCAGTTTGAGAACCCTTGCACTAGCTAGACACCTGCAAAAGAATTTTCTGCAGTAACTCTGAGCCCTCCCCATCTAGTGTCCCATAGCTGGCCATTAGAGATATTTGTTAACACCAGACACAGATAGGCCATATGTCACTGTAGAAACTTACCAAGTTCAGTCTTGAAACAAGCTAGTTTTT